AATTGTTTTCTTGAAATGTAGTCCCTTTTCCCCATGCGGAAAGCCACCTAATTAAAAGTAGTCTTTGGAGCCTAATTCTGCCAAAAAAACGTATTTAACACTTTTATAAATCAAGTGCTCGGATTAGTCTAAACTCCTAGTATCCCCCTTAACAACCCCTACAATACTCCCCTATAGAAGCCCCTAAACAACCCCTTTAGGCAGTTTAGACTATAGCTTATATGTGAGGGGGTACCTGCAAGCCCTTTACACGGACAGGCTGTTGCCGAAACAGCTCCCCTAACAGGAGCCCCAGATTTAGGGTTTAGGGTTGAGGCAACATGGGAATCTGCTAAATGTTCCAAGAGCTATCATACAGTTGCAATGGAATTTCAACAGGTCACTTGGTTCAGAACATTCTGAATCCTCAGCCCAAACCCCCAAACCTCAAACCCTGGCGACCCAAAGCAATCAGCTTACGCGTGCGTAAGGGAGGTTGCAGGAGTGAATATGGAGACTACAAAGGAGTGGGGGGGTGGTAAAGATCCGCTCCCCTACTCCCCCATGAGCACCACTAAGAACATCCTAAGCAACAAATCACTTACCCTTCCCCCAAGTTTCCTGGAGCCCCAAAGTGGGTCCTCGAACTACTGTAAGAGAGGTCAGCTAGTCACCTAAACTCTCAAACCTAAGGAGTTCCAAGAATCAGGGTCCCCTTTTGGTACTCCCAGATATTAGGTGCCGCAATATATTCTATGGCCAGAAAGGGCAAAACCATCTGTAAGCTCTAAACCCTAAATAACCCCTAAACCCCAGCCTTCTTGTGGCCAGGAGGGCAATCGCCCACAATGTCATGGAAAAGCGCCTTGTGGAAGCGGCTCTGAAGGTTTAGGGTATATTCGGCCCCCAACTCGGTCATATGAGCTATAGGTTTAGGGTTTAGGGTTTAGGGTCTAGGGTTTAGGGTTTAGGGTTTCTTAACTCCTAGCATCCCCCTTAATACTCACTACAACACTTCCTTACATAATTCCCTATATAACCCCCCTTTTACGGAATTTTGACTATAGCTGATACATCACAGGCACTTTGTGCGAGCACCACTTCGATGAACCACGACCTAGTCAGGATCAGCCCTTCTACAGGAACTGTCAGTACTAAGCCTTGCATCTAGCCCTCAACTTTTCAGAGTTACCCCTTGCGGGGCCTGCAAGTACATGGCGGCTGTAGCAGTGGCATACGAGAATTTCTCAAAACGCACTACGTTTGGGCAGCATCCTATTCTGAATCAAAACCCGGTTTTGTCGCGGCCCCCCCCACCCCTGTTACATACCCCTTTGCCGCGGCCTGTTGTTACATACATTTGTCGCGAATGTTTGGCGCAGGTATGCCCTACAAAAGAACCTTGTCGCAAAGGGGCTTGTCGCAAGCCAGGACATTCAGTTACAAACCTATGTCACGGAATGGCCGCCCGAGCCTGTTACAAACCCAGTATTGTTGATTCACAGCCTTTTCCAGAAAATGCATAAATCCTCCAGAACACAAGACATGGCTCACTGCTCCAGCCCCAAAATTTACACGGCCCAGGATGCCAGGTTTTGGGCTTGCGGTATAGGCTTCCGGGTTGCAAGGACCCCAAACCCACCAAGAAATCATGGAAACCCAAAAACTCCCTATAAAGACTGCAGCCCTTCTGCAAGGGACCCTAAACCCGGAATAGTAGTTTCCATTCCTTCATTCCCAGCTATCCCAAGGTAAGGAAGGCCAGGGAGCCTGTAGGCATGTTCAGATTGTAAGTTCGGCTATCAAACTCAGGACCAGAGATCCGGAAACTTCCCATTCCACTATGCAGGATAAACTCGAAGAGGGTGATTTTGGGATTATATAGGGGTTGTATAGAGCTAATGGAAAAGAACGTGGAAACGACTATAATGGGCTTATATAGGGCTTAGGGTTTTGGACAGGTTAGTTCTTGGAGGGGAATTCAAGCACATCCACATTTAAGGTATAAAGGACAAACTAAGGTGGAGCAGTAAGCAGTGGATGGTGAGCCACGGATATGCCACACGCTTTACATACCAAGATTGTAACAGGGTGGCTTGTTTGATTTTGGACCCGTCATAAGAGTTTCCATAAACAGGGGGCCTTACAAACCCCGAAGTATTAGAATACTTCTTCTGACCAGCCGCAAACAGGAATGGCATCCAAATCCCTACACACCGAAGCCTGAAAATCCATGATCCCTAAGCCCTGTAATCCAAATCAGAGAGCCCTGAACCCTAAGTCCTCAACGCTCAACTAGTGAATGCTTCGGCAAAAATGCTCAGTAGAAAAAAACCTTAACCTTTAACGTGGACCCCTAAAACCCTGAGTCATGCGAAGAAGAGGCAAAAAAGTCGATGTCCGGCTGGAACCAGACACTCTCCCTCACCTGGGAATATCTCGCAATGGGATTATCTTGAGTCTTGAGGTTCCTTTTCAGGTTATCGGGATATGCGGGGTTCATAAAGTGTCTGAAACCAGGGGTACCCTGTTTAGGGACCCTGGACTGCCAACGGATCTTAGGGACTATGTGGGGCGCCCACCTTAACCACGGCCAATCTGATCACTCGTGGGGGTTGAATGTGGCATGAATGGACTAGAGTGACTGGAGTCCAATTGAATGCTGAAGAGGGTTAGTTTTTTGTGTGGAGATTGTGGCGCTTGTTCTGCCTCGACGGCTATATACCCAAACCCCCTGACAGCACACAAACTCCTGCTCAAACATAACCTCCTCGCTCGGGCCCGGACGAGAAAGGATGAGCTATCGATCTTCGTGAACCGCGCAAACTTCATCAGGACTCGCGCGGACCTCCCAAGAGCCTCGACTTTAGCGGCTCCGGGCTCAGCGTGAAATCTTGGCACTGTAGTCCGGGTTGGGGAAAATCAGTTTAGTATTTACAGTAATATAGTTCGTACAGTTGGCTCTGCAGGCCTGCTCAGTGCTAAAAATCCCCTAGTAGTTGGCATGTTAGATATTGATATTGAAATGATAGCACGTACGCGGTTTCGGGTTTAGGGTTAAGAGTATATGGCTTAGGATATAGTAACGCTCACTGATGGTAACACTAATCATGGGAGTTATTGATGCCAGAACAAGTCCAAGTTTCATGCCTGGATATATCAACTATGGGACGGCCACGGTCGTTAAGGGGAGATGAGTAGCGTAATGCTGCTGTTTCGTAAGAGTTCGCAGGGTTCTGGGAGACCCCATGTAGTAAGCAGCAAAGGGTGCAGCATAAAGAAAGAGCTCCATGCAGCCCCAAGTGGCGGATCGAGATGCCTGGTTTAGAGATTATGGGGTTCTTTGGTAACCTCCCCAACTACCTACAGCTTTACGTAACCCCCCAAACCCTAAACCCCTAAACCCTAAACCCTTTAGGAGTGTAGCCTGGAGCATGCGGGGTCTGGGACCCTTGCCAGGGATGTAAAATGCGTTGTTAAGGAGTATTTGTTGAATCATAACTCCCAGTTTCAGGTCTACTCCTTAATTGAAGTATATGGGCAGGGTTGAGGGGCTAGGGTTAGGGTTTTGGGTTCATAGGCTTAGGGCCTACACGAAGCTTAGCGCCCTATGGCCCTCGGTGGCTGCTGCTAAGCAGGTAGGGTTCAAACTGGAACATATATGGGGCTTCCAAAGCTGAGGTGTCTCGTTTGGGGGGTCCCCATTGTAAGGGCTGGAGTCCGCTATTTATGGAAACCCTCAAGCCCAAACCCCACGAGGACCTACAAGCTTCAAAGCCTGCAAGCACTAGCCAAAAAGCTTATCCCCAATAAGCACCCCGTAGTACCCTTATAAAGCAAAAACCCAACCGTTGCGGACCATCTCAAAGTGCTCCGGGTGGATGTAGCCGTGCAATGCAACACCTGGCTGACGAGTGCACTTATTTAGGGTTCCGGGTATTGGGGGATTTAGGGAACCGTTGGGACAACATACTGTGCTGCTGGAGGAGACCATGTGAAAGGTTGTCAAAACTATGGTCCCAATATTAGGGGCCCTGTTATATCAGGTACCCCAAGGCCTGACCTTTGTTTTGACAACCTACCCTGCAAGACATGTCAAAGCGGCAGCTTCAGAGGCAACATCTCAGGAGATCATGATGCGTGTCAGTAGTAAGAAGCTATCCACAGCACCAGCAAGCATAAGAACAAACAAAAGTGACCTGACAATGGGGATGCCACTGCCTACAAGAGCGTCCACGTGCTGATCCTGGCCAATATGATGCTATGAGCAAAGGCGGTTTTGATCGTACCGGCCAAGACCATCTACCTTACAAGGGTTGAGATTCATCATGCAAATAACATCAACAATGGACTTAGTGCAAGTCACCATGATACAGATGCTACGACTTTGAGGACGCAACTTCTGCTGCTGGCAGCACCTTTTCCATTTGACTGGCTGTTGGCTGGCTGTATCTTGTGTGGCGGTAGCGAGGCGAGGGAACAAGGGGCCATCGCTTGGAAGGTTGCAGTTGTATCCGACAACTGCTGCACCACATCTAAAAAGTAGTTGGCTGAACCAGGGGCCCGTGTTTCCTCGTGATCGGGTTTAGGGTTCCTAACTAGCAGAACAGTAGGCTTCCGGTCTATCTGACTATGAGGTAGGCAAAACCCCGAGTTGGGCAACCTGAGCCCTACCCCAAAGCCTGAATAAAGCCAAAACCCCAAAACCCTCGGGCAGTATTGCTAGGATCGGAACTTTCAGAAACAGACCCAAGGTTCAGCACAAATCTGCACGCAAGTGAGCTTGCGTGCCCGTCTCCCGCAAACTCTGCAGAGGAGCTAATAGGAACCTAGAAAGCCGGTAGCCCTCAATTGTAGCCTACTTTCCTTAAATCCCCTACCACTTTGGGTTCAAGTAGCTTTTTTGGGGGGTGACTAGGCTTTCTAGGAAGGTTCTAGATTGCGCCAACAGTCCCTGCAGCCAGCGTGCTGCACCCTACTGGCTCGCAAGAACTGTTAAAACATATCGCATTTTGCTGCGCTCACTTGTACTTGTACTTCTCCTTGAGGTCATTGGTGCCATCGATGACTTCCTCGAAGGCCTTCCTCAATTCAGGGCCAATGGTAGCACAGCGGAGGATCTCTTGCTTGTCTTCCTGCCTGCGAGCCTGCATGTCGTTGAGCCTTCGCAATGTCAACTCACATGTGATGCCCATGTCTCGAAAGTCCTGCTCTCTCAGCACGTGAAGAAAGGCGTGGCCTGAGATGCTGTTGTCCAAGAATGTGACCGCGCAGCCGTCGAGGTTCCAGTCATGTAGCGCAGCACTGAGCTTGTTTGCATCCCAGCTGTCCACATCCACAGCGCGGCCCTGCAGGAAGGGAAGCTGCTGGCACAATTGCTGGAATTTGGTAGCATGCGACATGATTCGCTTAGTGTCCTCGGCCAGTTCAAGGTAGTAGCGGTGTATGTCGTAGCCCATTCTTTTGATGTCTCTGATGTTCTCCAATGTCTGCTCGGTCTCATCCTCCAGGCAGCCAAAGTCCGTGCGGCCATCGAAGAACCACCACTTGATCGCTGGAATCATAGAGCATGCCGCTGCTCCAACATATGCCCAACTGCGAACTGCAGGGGCGAAAGCGTGCCGGCCCCCAAGGAATGTAAGGACGGCGCCAATGCCAAAGCTGACATCTGGAGAGACCCACGAGCGATCAATCCATCCCACGACTGTGTAGAGCCGGTCAAAGGTCCTTAACATAGAGTGGCGCTTTCGCCACTCCAATTCCTTTTGGCCAATGCTCTGCTCATAGCCACCCTGGTGTCCAGCAAAATCTTTTTGGCACTCCTGCACCTCCTTGAGCAACTTTACAAGGCTACCTCTTTTGAAAAGCTGCTCCAAAATCTCTGTCAAGGAGCCTTGGACAAAGGCTATGGCCTCCTCAGAGAGTGCTGAGTTGCCAAGGTAGTCAACAACTCGCATCCCAAGCACATCTCGCACTTGGCAGGCCTCCTTCTGGATAACTTGGATCTTGGCTGGGAGATGCTGCTGCAAATGCAGCACTTTTCCGAGAACTCTCCGCCCAATGCTGTGCAGATTGTCTGCCAGTCGGTTCTTGGAAGGGTCCACTCCCTTGTAAAGTTCGTTGACAAAGTTGTTTGCATCTTGCACTCGCTTGGCGTGCAAGACCGTAGAGGTTTGCGATGCTGCCGGGATGGCAACTGATGACTCTTTTCGTTACTTTGCTAGCTCCATGGATTGAGACGAGTTCTCCTGCGACTCAACGGGCACCCAAGATGCGGCTGATGTAGCCGACATGCTGCCAGCTCCACGACTGAGCAGCAATGAAACAGCTACCTAGAGAATATGATCGATGTGCACTACCTGAAGAACAACCGCTTGCGAGACCCACACCATCACTCAGCGGCTATTGCACGAAGGATCATCCCAAGAAGGACTCCAACCATGACTTTCTGCTCCCTGCATATCCCTAATGGAAAAACTGGAACCTACTAAACTATAAAAGGGTGTATACGGGTTATACGGGGATATAAGTAATGTGCACAAAGGCAGCCAATTTTGACCCCCACAAGCTCCACCAACACCTCCAGTTTCCATTGCATGTCCCTTTTGATGTTTTACTTGGTTCTTCACTGCCGGGGTAACACCAGTATACAAACATGCCAAGAGCGCCTCCCGTAGACGATGTTGCCGTCGCAGCAACCAAATTCTGCCCATCTCGTATGAAGACCCTCCTGGTACCCTGACTTGGGGATATTTGGCCCCTAAAAAGTGAACTCTCAGGCCGTAACAGAGGATTGATGGAAGGTCTAGAGAATTAAGCTTGGCAAATGTTTCTCGGTCCATAAAGTGGGCCCAGTTTGAATGCGCAGAGAAACTGATTGGAAGCACTAAGTATACTTATCCAACTAGAAGCCATGAAACATCCCAGTTGTCCCCGCTATGAAGCTACTTACTCGTCCCTCCGACCCTCCGAAGTCCTTCCAATTGCAAAGCCGAGCAAGCTTGGAAAAGAGGAGCTCGTGGCTGACATTTGCCGCTATGGGGTTTAGGGTTTAGGGTTTGGGGTTTAGGGTTTAGGGTTTGGGGTTTAGGGTTTAGGGTTGATTTGCTGCTTTTGGGTTGTTACATTGGCCTCTCTGAGGACAGACAAGCACAACACGTCTGCTCACACCCGAAAACCCAAATCTCGCCAAGGCCAGTGCCGAAACCCAAAAATGCAATTCTGTTTTTTTGGGTGGTTTGGGCTTGGGGTGTGGGGTTTAGGGTTATATTGGGCCCTATTGGGGTTAGTAGCACCACCTTCTCATGCTGTAGTCTCACTGGAGCTTCTCAAGAACCAAACAATCCCCACTTGATTTTTTAATGGAAACCACAGATGTCTTACATTCCGCATCTACCTATCCATAGAGTCACCAAGGCACCCCGGAAAATCCACAATAGAGCCAAGCAGCCACAATGTGCGTCCGATTCACGTACAAGTTACCTGAGATAAGGGCGTTTCCAAGTAATCCTTATCGAACCCTTCCCTAAGGGTCCAAGGACCTAAATAGTAATTAGGGTTCTAGGGCCCAAGGACCGGTGATAGTATAGTATTTGGGCCCTAAACCCCCAGTATTTGGATCCTTGGACCCCTAGGGCTTGAAAAGAACCCAGAAGCCGCTTGTAGTTTCCACATATCCTAGGGTCTCCGAGGCACCCCTATTTGAGCTATAGTCTAAATTCCGAATATCCCCCTTAGTAATAGAACACTCCTATATCATCCCCTACATAACCTCCCTTTAAGGTATTGAGACTAGAGCTTATTTGGAGAAACCATATTTGAGCTGCACAGCCAAGCATTGAGCTGATCATTTTTTTGCTTCATTGAACTCAAAACAAGGTTGCTTTAGAGTTCTTGGTTTGAGCTTGGGTTGGGGAGTTAGGACTTAGGGTTGAGGGTGTAGGGTTGAAGTTTTAGGACTTAGGATTCCGGCTTTACAGGGTTCAGAGCTACTGGAGACCGACACCTTATAACTCCCATCACTCTTCCACACTTCTACGACGGCCTAAACAAGTACTACGAGGGACCTTACAACCACAATCGTAACTGGGTGCTACTATACCTAGACCCTCCAATGTAGTACCTTTTTAGTAGTCCTAATAGGAGTCCTAACCAAAGAATACCAAACGCAAAAAATAGCTGCAGTGGAGGGTCCATGTAAACCTGAAACGAATAACGAATATGTTAAACAGTGAGGGAAAGTAGTAGTCATGCCGGAAGGTCATCCGGCTAAGGGTACTTGGTTTCTAGGGTTTTAGGGTTCAGGGTGTAAAGGTTAAAGGCTCTAAAGTCAGGATTGCAGCACCCTTCAACAACATCAGGGGATGCTCGAATAAGGAGTTCCATGCTATGTTTGCCTGCGCGGACCTGCACCTGGGCTTAAGAGCTCGAGGTTCATGAGTGTTCAAGTTTCATGGAAGCCATAGTCTAAACCCCAAAAGTATGTAAAATAATAGCCCTAAACCCATAACAACAGCCATAAGGGCCATTATTTTACATACTTTTGGGGTCCAGGTAGTCTAAACTTCTAGTATCCCGTATCCCACTTAATAACCCCTATGATAGTCCACGAGAAAGTCCCTTATACAACGCCCTGAAGGAGTTTAGACTATGGCTCATGGAACTCAACCCTCAATTGTATCCTAGCCTCAGAGTTGTTCGATGTGCTACTGAAATAAGCCCTGCCTGACCCAATCGACCTAAGCCCTTGGAATTTCGGGATGATAGTACACCGTCCATCGACCGTAGTATTCAAAGTTCGCCCGTGCTGCATCTCCAGTGGTGATTGCGCGCAAGAGTTGCGGGATGGATGCACCAGGTAGAGTCAGGTAGAGTCTTACCCCAAAGTAACATGAAACCTGAAAAGACACTGTAGCAAACTGTGCTACCATACTTCCAAGGGTATAGGCGAAGGGGTCCTGCCGTGTTGTTTCTATCAACAGTAAGCTACATGGCGCCTAAACCCTAATCCCTGTACACGCTCAGTCCTACATCTTGAAGCTTGAACCCCCAGAAGCATAAACCCCCAAAACCCTGCACTCTACGCCCACTAACAGGCGATTTATGACTTAACAACCCTATATACCTCTTCCTTACAGGACCCTGAGCCCTAAACCTTTAAACCCTGAACCCTAAACCCCAAAACCCTAACCTCCGATGCGACATCAAAGTCTACGCCAGGCAGCGGCATGTGACTTCTACAATTCTCCAGTCCTCTGTCTCCTGGGTTTAGGGTGTCGGGTTTAGGGTTTAAGGATTTTGGGTTGAGGGTCTAACGTTTTAGGGTTGCTCGGAACCGGGGTACTCTTACAAGGGATTCCAATGGGGAATGTAAGGACATATAGGGTTGGGAGCGGTGTTTGAAGAGAGTTTGTCTCAATTAAGTACATGGGGGGTCAGGTGGTTGTAGGAACTATGGGGCTTCGGGTTGAGTTTAGGATGGCTTGGAAAGTATATATACTTATAACCTACAAGCCATAAAATACACGCAATAATCCCCAATATGAAGCTACTTGTTAAGTCCCCCGTGGCCCTCAAATGCCTTCAAAGGAATTCGATAGGGTTATATGGGGAGAGAGAGAGAGAGAGAGAGATGCATATGAAAACTACTGCTATACATACATAGATTTGTTTTCAGTGCTAAATCTTAACGGTTTGTAGGAGAGGGGTGGATAGATTCTTGGGCGATTCTTGATATCACCATTTGGGGAAATGTAAGTGTCACTCCGGAAAAACACAATTTCCCCCGTGAAGATGTCCTAAACCCTACACCCTTGACCCTAAGCCAACCAACGACATGGGTCTCCATATGAGCTACGGTCAATTTTTCCCCAGAAAATGAAAGGGACATGGGTTCCTTATTAGGGAATATATCCAGAAGGACCCCTATGTCCACCCTTCATGGGCCCTTGGCAAGGCTAATACTGACAGCAGTTCATATAAGGAGGAGTGGATTCCCTAAACCCTAAACCCTATACCCGTGTAGAGTCTCTAGCGCCTAAGAGCAGGCAGTTGCATGAGGGATTTGTTGCTTCGGCTGGCAGCAACAATAGAACATTACATGAGCCATAGTCTAAACTCCTAGTATTCCCTCAATACCCCCTATAGTAGTCCCCTATATATACTCCCCTATATACCCCCTTTAAGGAGTTTAGATTATGGCACACATGTGGCCATGTGACAACCCGCAACGTGTTCACGTTACAGAGTGGGGGCAACACCTAATGTGAAGCATTGCTTCATCGCGTGCTTCATCGCGTGCATAGCCGTTGGCAGATTTTGGCTGGAGCTGAGAAGTCTGACGGCCGTCGTAGAGGATACTTTAGGGCTTAGTGCTTAGGGTTTAGGGTTCATCAGGCAACATGCTGTAGACGGGCAAAGTCCTGTAGACCCCATATTCCTAAACCTAGGAACTTCTGTATCTTCATGGTTAGGTTCATGCAGTTTTTTGTCCATGAACAACATGAACTTCAGTACAGGAAGCCGGCAACGCGTTTACAAAGCCCGTACATTCCCCTGATTTGGCTCCATGTGGCCTACTACTTTGGAACCCAAGGATGAGGGCACTGAAATCTTGAGAAATGCCGAGAACACAGGGCAAAGAAAGCTTATGTCTCACCCTAAACCAACAAACCCCAAACCCTAAACCCCAATCCCGAATTCAATCCGTTCATGTCCTGGTGAACACTTTCCCTAAGGAGATAAGGACCCAAATAATGGGGATCTAGGGCCCCAATACCCCCTAAACCCTAAACCCTAAACCTTTTAATATTTGGGCCCTAAGCCTTGGACCCTTAGGGTTTGTTGATGCTACAAGCTGAAAGCCCCGAAAATCGCGGCCAAGCTTCCCATGCGCTGTACCTGGCACAGTAGGATCCGGGCTGCTTTTGTTGGGAAGCATGATGTAGTTTAATATAATAGTGTCTAATATAACATAGTCAAACATAGCATAATATATTATGTTAGAGTATATTCTACTATATTAAACTATGTTAATATTAGGGAGCAAGACCGTACTGGCATCCTCAAATTACAGCGAAGTCGCTTCTTTTCTCATGCCGGGGTTGTGGAGCCCAAGCCCTACGCCAAAACCTGAACCCCAGGCCCCCTCAGTTGCAGCCGAAGGAACCCCACGGAGGTGTCGGCATTCGCCGCGCTGCCTCCGCAGCCGGGCATATTGGGCAAGATCACGGAAAAGCCCCGCCTGGCCATACGGTCTATGAATAAAATCTGGGTGTCCCTTAAGTATCTGCTTAGCAAGGCTATTAATTGAGCTTTAGACGCTCCGCCCAAACCAGAGGAACAATAAGGGCGAGCCGCTCTGGTGCTGAGGAAAGGGATTGCTTGGAGGGTCAAGGGCACTTAGGAACTAAGTAAGTAATGGGGCCAATTGCGGGTTGTCATGTGAGCTATCGTCTAAACTCCTAGTATCCCCCTGAATAACCCCTATAGTACTCCCCAATATAATCCCATATATAACCCCCTTAAAGAATTTAGCCTATGGCTCATATGGCTTGCAGGAGCTACCAGTATACTCCCTAAGTCATCTTGGCCCTCCAGGCAGGGAGTAGGGTTTGGGTAGGCGTGGGTCTTGGGTGGTTCAATTGTTCAAATGGGTC